TGGTAAAAGCAGCAAATAGTGAACTGAGAAGGAAAGATCATATCAACTGGCAAGGCAATGTGTGGTGAAACACTCGACCAGCGTCGCAATGCCCCCAAAATACATGGTCAAACATACAATGCATCAGGCCTTTCTGATGGAAAACCCTCACTGTGCAAAATCTCTGTTGCACATACTAAATGGAACACTTGGCAGAACTGAGCTCATATATTGGTTTGATGAAAGGTGTAACTGTCAGCCAACACAGCAATGTGTAGCGAAACACTTAACCAGTGTCACAACATGTAGTAAATGCCCCCAAAATACAGTCAAACATACAATACAGCAGGTCTTTCTGACAGAAAACCATCACTGTACAAAATCTGTCTTGCACATGCTAAATGTATTAGAGCTGGCTAGGTTATAGATGTAAGCAATTAGTTGTAAACACACTGAAATACTCCCAGCAAAAGCAAAGGAGCTTTTAGCCCAGTATTCTTCAGCATAGTAACACTTGGGAATAAAATGCTGGTAAAAGTAAGTAGTAAACAGTGAACTGAGAGGCAGAGATCGTGTTAGAAGGGTTATCTAGCCCACACTGAGCACAATAATCTTTTTATCTCTTTAAGGAAATGAGGCTTAAGCAATTGCAGCGTTGGGTGTTTCCTTTTCCAAGCATCCTTTCCACCTCAAAGGACTTTTGAACACGCTGGCCTACTTAATCACATTTGCAAACATGTAGGGACCTTGGAAGGTTAAAGTGGTACATCTTTGTGGGGAAAAAAAGCAGTTACAAGAGAAGAAAAGCGCAGGTGTTACGCAACTGGTAGCCAGCACACCATTACATTTGCTGCTTAGCTAGTAACCACACCCCTAGGTTTGGGTTTGAGCATGCCTTGAGCAGACAGTGTGTCATAGCATACCAGGGAGCAGGTTACTTTGGGTTACTGGTGTAGGTAGACTTTGCACCAAAGACACAAACCCTTAAGAAACAATGTTTGAAGCTCATTGATTACAGAGGAGCTTGTTAATATGAGCAGTTTCAAGGTCATATTTCCAGGCCTAAATCGTGAAGCCATACAGGATTGAGGTTATTCTGCCAGCATTCATGCCTGAGTAATAATAACATTCCCACCTGTTAGACCTTCCTTCTTCTGGAAGTTACCACTCCTATCTGATAGAAATAACAAGAGAGAACATGTCCGTTCCTCATCTTCCAGGACTTCAGAGTATAAACACATGCTGAATTTCATGATTGGTTGGGTTAATGTTCAGTTTGTGAGCTAGAGTATCTCCAGAACAGATACACTGCCAATTTTGCTGACTCTGCTTCCTGGCCAATAACCTCCTAGGAGAGAGGGGCCAAGAGTGAGGGGCAGTGATCTAGTGTGAGTTGTCAGACCTTGGGGGACAAGATGGACAGTCAGTTCATGGCAGTGAACTACAATACTACAAGAGAAATTACCTGCTAATGGGATTAAAATATTGAAATTTTCATGGGTAAGTTGAGGGGAAACTTGGTCTTTTTGGTTTTTACAAGCATTTACATGGAGAGAAGACTTCTGTGAGTAGGTTCTTCATTAATGTAACAGAAAAATACATCATGAGATCCAGCTCATGACTGGAAGCTCAAGGTAGACAAGTTCAGGCCAGAGCTAAGGTTTAACTCTCAAGGCTATCAAACCACTGGAGCAATTTCTCTAAAGGTGTGTTAGCTTAGTCATCATGTGAAGTATTTAAATCAAAACTAAGAACATAAATTAGCAGTGACTGTGCTGAGTCAGATCAGAGGACCTTCTGGCCCAATGATGTGTTTCTAGAAGTGGCCAGTGAGAAAAGGGAGCTTGACAAGGGCTGAGGTGGGGATCCCAGAAATTCTTGGATTCATTTCAATTCCCCCTGGGGAAGGTTGTGCCTTTTTTTTGAAGGACGCCATTGAGCAGCACCCGCATCTTCTACCCAGAGCTGCTGAGTTCTAACCTGGCATGTCCTTGGATAAAAGCCATTCAAAAAGTTGGTTTATGCCTCCATCTTTGTGCCTTTTTAACTTTTACTGTCTGTTTTAAGCAAATGTTTTAGTCTTGATGTAAAAATCAATGACAATTTCTGCCCACTTCTGTATAGAAGATCACATCACTGATGCCTCTGGTTTCCTTTAGCCTTGAAATTACTGAGCAAAAAAAAATATTCTGTGACTTCCATGGATTATTGCACTCTCTAATCCTGAGCCCAAAATGCTGTCTTGAAACCATTTGATTAACATGCTGGTGCCCTATCAGCTTGGCCATGTTTCAGAAAGGTTAGGAAGAAAAACAGGAAGAAAAGGCATCAGAGAAGTAACTGAAGTAAAGCACATCATTTGCTGTGTCTCCACCATATCAAACGCAACATTGCATAACCATTTCTGGGTAAATCTGACTTTCCTGAAGACTCTGCTGCAAGCAGCAAACCAATTGGTTATCTTTCTATCACATTTACAGCAGTAATTCTCATCAGCAATTTACTCAATAATTAACAAGATTTTTCCCTCAGCAAAACCATTAGCCGAGTACCAATGCATCAAAATGTAAGCATGACACTATATAAATAAATACACAATAATAAAGATGTATATATTCACTGAGGCACAGAGACTGTTTAATAGAAAGAGACAAAGAACCAGCATGTTCCTCAGAGATGTGGGTCTGTCAGGGACTGGAGGAATGGTGTGCTGAGTTAAAGTTTGCAGTGTTTGAATGCTGTTAAGGTTACTGCTTTACCTTTTGCCAAGTGCCTTGCTTCACCCAGATGGCCCAAAGTTTGTAAGTAAAAACTATTTTTTGTTAAACCTGTTGAGAACTGAATTACTCCCAGAGTAATTCAAAATTACCTTCCCCTCAACCTGCTGAGCAGACTGGGGCATTACATTTAATTGGCATAGTCATTACCTTCCCCTCAACCTGCCGAGCAGACTGGGGCATTACATTTTATTGGCATAGTCAACAGGATTACTCTGGGAGTGGTGAGGAAGTTTTTGTACAGGGATAACAGCCAGAGTGCTGGACAAGGGAGAGCTGGTTGTTGGCCAAAGCCAAAGTCTCCAGCAGAGCCAGAGTGCTGGACAAGGGAGAGCTGATTTTTGGCCAAAGCCAAAGTCTCCAGACTAGATCATGGCAAGCCATGCTATGCCTGATTTGGACTGCTCCCCACTGCTAGATGGGCTAGGAGAACATCAAGCCTGTCCAGTCCCAAGTGAACGGAGCTGGGCTGAGGAACATCGGCAGTCTCTGGGGATTGTGGCCGAGAGAATAAGAGACTTGGCAAAGGAAAGTAACTTTAAGTATGGTAAGGGAGAAACTGTTGTTTGTACTGTTTTGGGGGCTACCTTGTTGGCTGCTCAACAGGATAAGTTTATCACTAAGCTTTAAAGTTTGCCTTTTTTGGCAGCAGTAGAATTGTACTACAATATCAGTGGGCAATAGAGAATCTTACCTGGCAAACCAGCATTTTATCAAATTTGGCTTGCTATGCCACTGGACGTTTAACTTACAAGTCCAGCAGGTATCAAAAATGGTTTTGCAAAAGTGCCCAGTACTCAATATGCTGTTACTAAAAGAGCAAGTCGTGTGTATAATGCTACATCCCTGTACAAAATGTCACTACCTCAGTAGAAGAAGCATGCGTGAAAATGAAGAGAACCAGTCTGCTGAGCTCTTCAGCTACTGCAGCTGAAGGGCTGGTTTCACAGACTCTCCCTTGGATCCTGATTTGCATCTCTCCTGCAATTGCTGGGACTCATGGGGCGGGTGAGGATCTCAGTATCGACTGGATTTCTGTTGTATGATTTCTTTCTCCTTCTTCTTTTCTCCTTTCTTCTATCACCACCACTGAAGAAGACATTCCCTTTGCTCTGGTCCTGGGGGTTGTTTAGAGCCACGGGGTGGTGTCAGGGACCAGAGATAAGGTTGCCTGGCTCAAAGCAACCAGTTGGGAAAGCAGTGGGGGAACAAGGCAAGCTCAATGTAAGTGGGGCCGTGGCTGCTCCCTGCTCCCATCCCCTTGAAGGTCACCATTGGTCTGGACTGGAATGGTGTTGATCTATCATGTGGCCATGCTGCAAGCCCTGAAATGGATACCCAAGCACCCTGGCTCTGCCTAAAGTGCAGGTGCATGACCTCATGCTGGGGAAGGCACTGGGTGAAGGGCATGGATATTAGGATGGCAAGACTTGTGCCATGTGGTGCTCTCCACTGCCCTGGGTTCAAAGCTGCTGGGACCACTCTGGATCCACAGATGGTGACTATTTTTCTCTCTTATTTTCTCTTATTCTTCCCTTATTTACTCCTTCTGAATACATAAGTGACAAGCTGCACTGAGCAGTATCCCCTCAATGACTTGCAAAGTGCCAAAGCTGAAGAGATTTGTTCAGCACATAGGAAGTATATCTTAATCCTTCTGCTTCTCATTATGACTGATTCCTGTCTGCAAAGCGGTTTTGTACACAAAGAAGACTTTAAACCACATATCATTGCATCAAAATGTCACTGTCAGTATCCAGAGGCAAGATGGAAAAAAAGCTGACTAATATTACCACCATGTGTGATACAAGATCACTTGAGTATTTGGGTGTTTATGAGATCATTTATGCACCTGCATATTTTAGGTTTGGGGTTTTTTTTTTGTTCCTGATGTGTATTTCAGCATTTTTTTCACCCATGAGAGAAATAAATAAAGGCCCTTTAAAATGAAAAGAAACTGGTTTAAAACATGTTGCTTACAAGCACTTGTGGTAGTTTAGGAAGGTGTAGCATGGCCAACCAAAGGCATTGTAAGTGCTGAAGTGGTAAGGGGGGTTTCCTCCCCTCACAGGAACATTGTAATTCTTCCCAGTTATCACCAGATGGCAATGTGATGGCCTTTAAAAGTTTCTGTTTTTTCTGAAGTGGAGAACAGTTTAGGCATGAGGAAGTGATGTATCCCTGTGCTGCAATCGCTCCGGGAAACAAGTTGCAGTTCTCTGCAAGGTACACATTTCTACTTAATGTTGTCTTTTGTGTACAGAGCTATAGCTAGTATTGAAAATGTTAATGTTAAGCCTGCAGGTTTCCATTTAAATTGTATCATTTAACTCTCCTTTTCTTATTCCTTATTTTTGTTTTGTTTTTTTTTAAGAACTTGGGTTGCCAAGAATTCATGATGAAGACCCTTTTTTTGCCTCCTTTTCTTGCCTCTGTTCTGTTTATGAGCAGTTTCTCACAAGTGCAGGGAAGGAAATGGAAAGGTGAAGGTACAACTCAAAACCTGGAAAATATTGTCATTGGGAGATGCTATGATTATATTAGAATTGTGAATCCTGCTGTTGGGTAAGTTTTGCTTGTTTCTGGATTAGTTTTTTGTGTTTTGCATGGAATGGTTATTAATCAGAAGTCTAATGTTATGCTCCTAGACATGAGAGTGATCCTATTGAAGCCAACATGCTTGTAGCTGTCTGGAAACAGAAACTTAACTTTGACAGATGTCATATTAAGTAAAGTGGTGTAATTAAGGCAAGATTTATAGCCCTTCAACTTTTTATTTCGCATTTCTCCTCCTCTGCTGCCACGGTGTTCTGTAAAGAGAATACCACCCAGAAACTGTGGATGGTGTTTCTGAAGCACCAAATTTTACAGTGCTCCTGGGAAGACAAGATTCATTTTGCATGCCTTGTATATCAGGTCATGTAAGAAAGGAAGCACCTCCCTTTATAGCTATGCTGGGGTACTGAAGGCGGCTGTTAGCTTATCCACCTGAAAAACCAAGTAGTATTCAAATGCTCAAGGAGGATTATCCATGAGCTTTTATTGGCTGTGTTAATTACACTAAACAGGAGGTAAATCACAGACTTTGCTAAAATGACCACTTTTTCTGTCTTCCTTGCATTGTATGGGCTTCAGTTAAAAGGAAAAATAATAAGGACAGTCTCCTGGAGTTCAGCCCTTTATTCTGCACTAAAATCTTTTCCTGCTAGTTTGAAGAGGTATTTCCAGAGAGGACCTGTCTGGGTTCCTGCAGCTTTGAATCATGGTCTTAAATAGGGTTAGATTTATATGACAAACAGAACTTTCTTCACCCAACGTCCCATTTTCAGTTTCTGCTGAAAAAAAAAGGAAGATACAGGGCTGACAACAGGTTTGTGGCTTTTAACAAAGGCAAAGCAGTATGTTTCTGCCCAATGACACCCTTACCTTATCAGAAGTATTTTGTTTCAAGTTCCCCATGAAAGAAAATATCATCCTAATGCAAATAACACGGTAGTAGAATTTCAGTGGAACAGCAAGTTTGGTGAATTTACAATTGTGTCACGGGTGGAAGGTGCAAGGAAACTTTGACTGTAGATTTCTACACACCTACAATGTAATATACAATGTAAAATATGTAGATTCAGTTAACAGTTGTGTAGGTGTATGAAAGTTTTTGCAGTGGGTTCTGGATAGGTAGAATTCCTGTTGGACTTAACAAACAGCACTTCATTTATATGTGAAACAAGACATGACTAATAATGCAGAACACACTAAAATAAGCAACATAAAGATAGTTACTGCAGAAATGTTAACTTTATCATTAACTGGTTTGTACTTTCAGAAATGTAAATAAAATATTTTTGAAAGTATTTCTATATGTCTTATACTCATGACAGCTTTGTGATCTAATTAATTCCTGTGACACTTCCACAAAATATGTTTAAAACTGAGAAGCTGAACATGTTCTTCAAAGAATTGTTATCTAGAATAGCATGAAGTTAGGCAGGACATTAGGACTACTTTCCTGGATTAAGGCCAAAAATGGCATTATAAAAAGAAAAGCTGCACAATG